ATGATCAAAGAAGGCAAATACTGAAAACACAAGCCTCTGAATAACAATGCCTGCAGATAAATCATTCGTTTTGATGATTATAGAAGTCAATGAAAGAAGTTTGATAAATGGCAAAAGTTTGTAACACCGACAGCAAAATACATTGAGAAGAGCTAGCAGATTATTTAAATTGTCACTACTAGTGGGTGAAGAAGACTTTTCTTATGCCCCTGGCAGGAGAGCATACCTGTATAATCTATTTTAGATTTTTTTCTTCAAAATATTTTTTACTGTTTTTCATTTAAAACCTATGTATTCCATATCCAAGAATTAATACTAAGAGATTTGTACATGAATCCTGCTGCAAGAATATAAATTATGGCATTTAGAACTTGAATAAGAGAACATATAGATATCTAATAAAAAGAGGATTGATTGAATTATTTTGCTACAACCATATAATGGAATATTATGCAGCCATTTCAATGACTCTGCAGAATTACGTGTAACAGGAAATATGTTTAATATATATTGTCCAATAAATTGGCATGTAACAAGGACCTGTAAGTTATCCAAAACAACAACCTTGGAGTCAGAGAACATGTATTATTTTTTTTAAACTTGCACCACTGGAATTATGTAAAATGGCAAACTGCTCAGATATCTAATTTCTTTTTCTGCAAAAAGAATAATAATTATACGTCTTCCTACCTCATTGTGTTTTTAGGAAATTTTTAAAAATGTATTATTCAATGTTCTTATTTTACCTGTTGACTAAGTGCACATAAATGCTGTTGATAGAACAGCATAAATACATCACTTATAAAATATATGCATCTTTTTTAGACCTATGTATTACATATCCAAGAATTAATACTAAGAGATGTGAACATGAATCCTGCTCCAAGAATATAAATTATGGCATTTATAAATTATGTATATAATATAAAATATAAATTATGTAAGTATGATTTTTGTTGTGTTTGCTTACCTTGACTTAACCATATTCCCTACATTTTATATGGGGAATCAATTATCATTCAGGAGTTCTCCTGCAATAACACCTCCCTCCAAAATCTCACTTGTTTAAAACAACAGGAGTTTCTTTCTCACTCACATCATAGGACCTTGGTGGATCAACAGAGATTTCTGCTACCCATCCTCATTCAGAGACCCAGGCTAACGGGTCAGAGACGATCTCAAGCACTGCAAATCCTCATGCCTGAGACAGAATGGCAGATTTTTCACTGCCTCTTATAGCTTCTGCTCAGATGTGATGCAAATTAATTTTACTCACTTATTTTTTTTTAAGCCAAAGTCAAATTCATGCTCAGGAGAACATCGATAATAATAATGATGTATTCTTAAATCAGGAAGAATGTAAAACTAATGTTTAGCCTATCATAAGCCATTATAGTTTTTGAGCAGAACACAAGAAGACTAGATAAAGTGTTTTCCCACCTTTACTCCCAGGAACCGAAATTAGGACGAGTGTCTTTATGTCTATATTGGCTACAGGAGATACATCTCATTACATGAAAATATATCTACAGCCAATATGGCATAGAAATCAAGGAATCACAGGATACAGAATGCAAGTTATCATATAAGTTATTCTACCTTCAAGACGTAATGATCACACTTAGTCACCACCAACAGAAACTAATAATTTAACTTAATTTCTGATATATTTTATATAAATAT